AAATGGCAGCTCAACTCCGCATAAAACCAGCTTTTTTATCCTCTCTAAGAGGACAGATGTGGGAAACTAGGATTTCATGTGAATCCATTTCGGTCTCTTCTCAACCTGTACCATCAAGCACTGAAAAGAGCAGCAAACATGCCCAGAATCTTGCTCCAGCACCATAAATGAATCTCTGGTGGAGATTTCACTTCATCTGTTCGTTCATTCATTCAGCATTTGTCAGGTGCTAACATGTGCACATATCAACAAGAGAGCAAGAAACCGATTATTTTTCCAGGGCATTGTCCTTTGGTTTAATAGTTAGCTCTGTGTTATTCTGAAAATGACACAACTGAGCATCATCTCTGAAGAGTTTGGATGGATGTCGTTTTCATTTCTTGGTTGCAGTCCCATAGAGTAGTGGTCCCCAACATTTTGGGCACCAAGGACCATTTTCATGGAATACAATTTTTCCATGGACTGGGGGTGGGTTTGGGGAGGTGGTTTGGAGTATGATTCAAGTGCATTACACCTCCCCTGCAGATCATCCTGCACAGTTTACAGCAGGCTTCGTGCTCCTATGAGAATCTAAGACCACTGCTTATCTGACAGGAGGCGGGGCTCAGGCCGTGATGCAGGTGGTGGGGAGCAGCCATGACGTTTCACAGGCTCTCCTGTTGCTCACCTCCTGCTGTGCGGCTAAGTCTGGCACCAGTCAGCGGCTCAGTGAATTACAGCTGGAGAGCAAGTAAAAAGTGGATGCAAACAAGAAGTTCTCTTCTCCCTAGACTTCTCTTGCATTGCCTAATGCTGGGTCACACTGCCAAGGTGTAAGGTGGACACTGAAGTGATTTTCTTAACCTGGCTGTGGACTCATGGAATCTTTCTATCACCTGCTTTGGAACTGCTAGTTTGACTCAAGTCAGGGTATTCCTAATTCTTTGGTTTTATTCTGTGTTGTAGGGGAACAAAACGGATGCAGTTCTCCCTCTAAAGACATGTGTGATTTGAGGAGGCTCTAAGCGCTTGTTATCTTTTCAGTGCAGTTTATGTTGTCTCAACTTTAACATGGGGATTAGGCCTGGTGGGATGCATTTTGAAAACAAACTTACTCCTAATTTCATATTATTTTATTATTGCCTCATTTATATTCACCTATTCTTAAATTATTTTATTTTCCTATGTTGAATAGATTCCTAAAAGGTATCTTACATTATTCCTTAAATAGGGCCTGGCATAAGCAAAAATATTACATACATAAAATGTGTTGCCTTGCAAGGAAATGAGACAATAGAATCATCATTACCTGGTTTTAAGTAAAAACTATATTTTTAGTTGACTTTCACGTTCTTTCTAACATTTAGAGAAAAATACAGTGCCTTTTTGTGTTTTTAAGGAATTATTACTATGATAATATAACATTTGTTTCTGAATATTATTGGCATTTCAAATCTTACCAATTAAGTTAAATACAGCTATTAAAACAACTTAGGGCTCAGCACCTTAGCTCAAGCGGCTAAGGCACCAGCCACATACATCAGAGCTGGCGGGTTCGAATCTGGCCCAGGCCTGCTAAACAATGACAACTACAACCAAAAAAAAAAATAGCCAGGCATTGTGGTGGGCGCCTGTAGTCCCAGCTACTCGGGAGGCTGAGGCAAGAGAACCACTTAAGCCCAGGAGTTTGAGGTTGCTGTGAGCTGTGATGCCACAGCACTCTACCCAGGACAATAGCTTGAGGCTCTGTCTCAAAAAAACAAAAACAAAAACTTAGACTCCAAAAGCTTTTGCTTTATGAATTTATTCATTTTTTAAATAAACTGATAGTAAATTTACCAGTGAAAATGGAAATCCTAACAGTTTCACAACTTAGTTGTTTTCAGTTTACTAACAAATAATGTGCATTTAATTGAGTTAGCCTATTTCGTAGCTCTATACTAGAACTTAATTTTCTTAATTTTGGGAGTAGAAATTCAGCTTATCTCCTGTTTTTCAAAATTCTTATTGGGTTGGACACAGTGTCTCCTGCTTGTAATCCCAGCATTTGGGGAGCTTGAGAACAGGCGTTCATGACCAACCTGGGCAACATAGCAAGATCCCTATATCTACAAAAAAATATTTTTTTTAATTGAGAGATTAAAAAAAATTCTTACTGGCATTGACTAATTCTCCTACATGAAATTAAGACACACACACCACACACAGGCAGAGAAAAGACTAGAAGGAAGTAGAGCACAATATTAAAGATGGCTGTCTGTATAGGGATGGGACTCTAACAGCCTTTAAAATCTTTATACTTTATGTAACCTCCACATTTTCTAGGTTATACATTGCAGTATTTTTTTCGTTAGAAAAAGCTACAAATGTGATGTAATCTATGTTATTCATATATATTCCAAGAGATTTACATCACTTAATACATCAGAGATATCTTTTATATCTCCATCTCTGCAGGCTTTGCCAAACACACTTTTTTGCCAAGTTTAGCTGGTGCAGAAATTTTTAATTTCTTCACCAATCAGTTACATTAAAGTCTATATATATGTCTTCAAAAGATGATCATTTTATCTGTGCAAAAATTTATAAATAAAATTTAAAATTGTGTATCTAAATTTGTGTATCAACAAAATGAAAATAAAATTCATAATTCTCAGATGAGGAATAAAAGTAGACAACAGTTCACACTACTTCTTTAGACTTTAGTCAGTGTTTACCAAACTTTTTTATCTCAGGGCACACTTAACCTACAGTTAAACTTCCATGGCACACTTAAATTATGTTGATCAAAAAAAAAAAGTTAAAAAAAAAAAAAGAATATACTTACTGTGCTTTGAACTTCTTTTGAAAATAATTCAACTGCTGATCTTTAAAAATTTTTGCGGCACACCGGCTGAAAAATCACTGCTTTAGGAACATCAGTAATTTCTTCAACATTTACATCTGGAAAAACCTACACATTTAAAGTGTTTTCTTTTCCCTCAATTAATGCGATATTGCTATATGACAACTTTATGGCTAGAAGAGAGTAGTTTTTTTAACCAAGGGGAGGTCTACAGAAGAAAAAAAGTATTTAGTGTTTTTGAAGAGCTTTTTATTCAAAACTGAGATTATCTAAAACAGACATATGGAAGAGAAAATATTGATATATAAAATCTTTAGCATACCCCAATCTACTTTTGGCATAGATAGATGCTGATAAAAATAAGATTGCTATTTTAAGAAATTCAGTCCCTTAAATAAAACTAAATATATCTATTGATATCTATATAAATATTTCTATATTGCTATCATATAGATATATTATAGATATATTTTCCACTTAGAAACACTGTCAGTCTTAATACATGTTTAAAGAAACAGCATAAATTCCTATATTACATGTGATAAATTATCATTTAGTAAAGTAGATTCAAAATAACATTCTGGCATTAAACATGAAGCAACATGGAATATCTGCTACACCCCATTATTCTGCTAATCTCAATTAAGGCCTTAGTATCTGCTATGGGCTCAGCACCCCAAAAGTAATTTTTATTGATGTACAAAAACAGACTTCAGTTAGGGCTTTGTCGTGATGTGCTATTATATGCTAATTTTTTTAGAGCTATACTGATACACGCTAGCTCAATTAACTTAATACTTCTATCTACTTTACGGAAACTAAAAGTTCACTCAACAAAAAAGAAGAGGTTAAAGGAAAAAATGAAAAAAAAAATATGAGTCCAGGAACCTCTTTTTTTCACAAAAATAACAATGAGGAAAGCAAGAGTGAAAATTAAAAAAAAAATAACATTGGTGAAATACTGCATGCTTCTTCCACTTACTACTTTCCCTTCCGTTCCCTTCCTGCACTTCCTCAGGTGACTCTTAGTAGAAAACCAATTATAATTTGGTACTAGGCTGTGATGGGGGAGTAGGCTTTAAGATGTTAGAGTCGCTAAGTGATTTCTATATAATAAGCAGCTGAGCCATGAGGAGGGAAAAAGAAGACAACAGGCTGAATGTGGGGCAACTGGGAATTGAGAGTGGGAGGAAAGATTTAGGGAACAGCCGCTCTGTTCATCTCTCCTCACATGTTAGCACCATGTTTGAATTCAGCGTAAGGCACGTCCCCTGTACATTTCACCCTCTTCCAAAGCACAGCAGAATGACAAGTCCCAGGAAATTGGAGAGCTGCGGGGTCCAGGGCTCCTTCTCTGTCTGGAGGGTCCTCTACCTCCAGCTCTCAACTCTGCTTTCTGTTCTAAAGTAATCTCAGCATGGGGCGGAGGTTATGACGCGGGGCTGTCACTGCAGATTCAGCAACACCCCTCCCGCCTCTCCCACAGTATAGGAAATCCATAACGTCTGTCATCTCTCCTGGCTGATTCACCAGTGTGAATGCAACCTGTATGATTTACCAGTGAGACGCACCTTCCTGAGCTTTGTAAGGGGGGAAAGGAGCAGCCATCACTCATCTGTGGCAGGAGGCGGCGACATCTGGGCAGATGGCGGTTTCTTGCATTTCCTGCCCTATACTATGATGCTGTAGCAACTTCCAGAAGCGTTCCTGCCAGTCTCTAGCACTTTAAGCTCACTTAAGGCTTTATTCAGTATCTGCTATGGGCTCAGCACCCCCACAGTAATTTTTAATGATGTCCAAAACATCAGTGAGGAAGTGTGAGCAGCTAAGATCATTGGCGGTGACTTTGTGGCTTCCAGAGATTCCTTCCCTTCTGACTTCCCTGAAGGCCAGCAGGGTGTGGACCTCCCCTAGCCCTTCCGGGGTCTTGGAAACATCTCATACTTCCTGCTTTCCTCTTCCTGTGCGAAAGACACCCACACTTTTGCTGATTTGCTCATTCTCTGGTTTTGAGCAAGTGAGTTGTTTAATTTTCTGAACAAGAATGCAAACCAAGAATGTGTTCTAAATTCATAATATGGCATATTTCTTGGTATTTCCTAGTATAGGTTTTTTGAAACCTCTCAATCCTCCCCCTCAAAAAAACTCAGCAAGACATATGAAAGTATCATCATAGTTAAATTTTTGTATTTATTATATTATTTATTGTTTTCATTGTATCTTGCTTTATACCAGAGCTTTGGCAGAGGGCAATTAGTTTTAGAGAAAGTGAGGAAAGGTAGGAAGGTTGCTTTAATTTTTCCCAAACCTGGCTTGAGGGAAAATTCACACATCCTTCAAGTTTATGAAACAGGCTTCGAATCTTTATTAAACTGGCCAGCAGGATAAGGTCATCTCCACTCAGATATCGGAGGATTGGAATCTCCTCAGGGTTTGGTAGCTTTTCAGCAAAGAGAAAAAGAAGGGAAGCTCAGAGTCAGGGGTGGCACTGGGGAAGTGGGCAGAGCTGAGTCTGGGGCTAATTAGGGTTAGATTTCCCCACTAGGGTCCAGTCTAGTTATCTGTAAACCGGGGCAGTGGTGCCATTCTAATTCTAACTGAAAGAGCTGAAATGCTTTAGAGACTCAGAAGACTGAACGGAATTTGGATACATTCAAAAGCTTACAATTTATTCAACTAATTTAACCAGTACAGACTGAGGAAAGTACAAAGAGGCCGCTAACATAGTCCCTTCCCTGGGAAGTGCCGGGTGTGGGAGCTGTGGTGGGTGTGAAGGCTGAGTATCTATGGGGAAGGCAGGGAGGGGGCAGTTTTCCTCGGAGAAGGGAGGACCTGTTTGACTAAAACTCCTTTTCCTTCTCTTCTAAATGTGCCCATACCTCCTGGTCCAAAGTGACCTGCCATTGCCCTTCCTTGGCCTCTGTTCTCCCTACTTTTACATAGCCTGTGATGATTCAAGGCTGCTGCTGTCTCCTTGCAGTGTCAAAAACCTGGATGGCTCTGTTAGGATGGTCTTGCCTGAGGTGCTTCCCGCCTGTGGCTTCAGGGCCAGCCTAGGAGGGGCATTTAGCCTCAGTGGGGCAGGTTAAAGCCAAGCAAAGTGACCCCTTAACTGCAAAAGATGAAAGAACTTACAGCGTCCTTCTGCATTTCCACGTCTCCCTCCATGGAAAGGAAAGAAGGTAGGAAGTATGAGGTAGGAGAGGGACAAATAACAAGAATAAAACAAGATCTTTAACCTACACTTTAACACCACATTCCATACAGTGACAAAACTTTACAAATTAAACTGACAACGGTTCTAATAAGAAAGACTTCATCAGCAAGAATCCTTTTAAGGAATTCCGGAAACCCAAAGCAGAGGAGGCCTTATCTACGGAGCGATAAAGGACCAAATGGAACTAGGAACCCAAGACACTCACACTGTGAGCTCAAAGTCGATGGAAAAGAGGTGGCGGTGGGACCCTGAGGTGTACAGTGTCGCGCGCTGGTGCCCACAAGCTGAGCACTGGCCCCGGCCCGGCCTTCTGCCCCTCCACAGCACATACCACAGTGATGAAAAATAAATCTCAGTAAGTAGAACAGGGAAAAAGAGTACAGAAAGGGAAAAAAGGAACATACAACTGAGAATCGCCCTATACTTGAGATCGGGAAGGGGAGGCACCAAATTTACCTGTCAGAGAGACTAAAACACAATTAATAGAAAAGGAAGACTTTGGGATATATAGAGAGTGACTATTTTCTGAGGCTGCTCACCTTTTGGCAGAACATACACTAAAGTTGGTGCGATACAGAGATTAGCATGGCCCCAGCGCAAGGATGACACACAAATTTGTGAAGCGTTCCATACTTTGAGACAATCTAATACACACCCACATAAGAGAAAAACTCGAGTCAATTCAAGTTGGGGGGAAGGGGATTGAGGGACAGGGTAGAGGGAAAGAGAGAGAGAATGATTGGGGTGTTCCTACCGTGGGCAAGGTAGGGGTGTACAGCACACTTCTTGGGTGCAGGACACAACTATAGGGGTACCCTACCTAACAAATGCAAACATTGTAACTAATTATTGGTACCTTTGCATTACCTTGAAATTAAAAAAAAACACTCAAAAAAAATTTTTTTCTGAGGGATTTGAGAGAACGTTTCATCAAGGAAAATAAGCAACTTAAGAGTACTTGGAAGTTAATTCTTGCATATAGAAAGATGTGTTAACAATTTTAGACTAACCATACAATATAGCATACTAAAAGACTGGGTGGCACCTGTGGCTCAAGGAGTAGGGTGCTGGCCCCATATACTGGAGGTGGTGGGTGCAAGCCCAGTCCTGGCCAAACCACACACACACACACACACACACACACACACACCAAGACAGTCTTTTAGATTGAAAAAAGCAACAAAATCTAACTACAGCCTGGTGGCTTACACCTTAATCCTAGTACTTGGGAGGCTGAGGCTGGGAGATTGCTTGAGCTCAGGAGTTCAAGACCAACCTGACCAAGAGCGAGATTCTGTCTCTACTAAGAACAGAAAAAAAACTAGCCAGATGTTGGGCCAGGTGCCTGTAGTCCCAGCTACTTGTGAGGCTGAGGCAGGAGGATTACTTGAGCCCAGGAGTTTGGGATTACTGTGAGCTATGATGCCGTGGCACTCTACCCAGGGAGACAGCATGAGATACCGGCTCAAAAAAATAAAAAAAAATCTAGCTATATATATATTGTTTTCAAGAAACATAATATAGCTCAAAATGACATGAAAAAGATCAAAAATCAAAGGATGAAAAAAATATACCAAGCAAATGCTAACAAAAAGAAAGCAAGTATAGCAATTTAATAGCAGACGGAACAGCATGTAAGGCAAAGGCTATTAAAAGGAAAACTGGGAATAAGATGAACAAATTAGGAGCATTATATACATTTCTCAAAAATAAAACCAAGGATATAAAAAGAAAAGAATAGAGAGATGAGTGAATAAAACAATCAGAATTTTATATCAACAAACAATACACCTTTTTAGATAAATACACATGAAACACTCATAAAAATTAATTTAGAATTAACTTAGAAAATAGCCAACTGCTCAGCCACATTCCCTGACCATTTAGAAATTAATAAGAAAAGGATAGTAAATCCTTATAGGTATTTGAAAATTCAATGACTATTGAATAGAAGAAATCAAAATAGATATTATCAACTATTTAAAAGCAAAAGTAAATAAGAATACTATATATTAAAACTTGGGGCAAATGAGTGAAGAGGCACTCAGTGCTAAGGTATAGGAATGGGTATTGCTGGTTCAGATGGATTGGTCAGGAAAGGACTCTGTGAGCAGAAACCTGAAGGAAGCAAGGGAATAGCCATATGTTAATGGAGAAGGAACAGTTTAAGTTATAAGAGTAGCATGTGCAAAGGCCCTGTGGCAGGATCATGCCTGGTACTTTCTAGCAATACCAAAAAGGCCTGTGCAGCTGAAGCAGAGTAAGGAAGAAAAGAATAATACAGAGAGACTATTAAAACAAGGTTGTTAGGTCATATACAGCAATTTGGGCTTTTTCTAGAGCCTTGGCTTTTGCTCTGAGTAGATGAGAAGCCCCTGGATAGTTCTGACCAGACTTAAGGTTTCAAAATATCACTCCAACTAATATGCAACATACCACAACCAAGTCTCTACAAAAAACAAAAACACGAGCTGGGCCTGGTGGCTCGTGCCTACAGTTTCAGCTACTTGGGAGGCTGAAGCTTTAGCCCAGGAGTTTGAGGTTGTGGTGAGCTATGATGAGGCCACTGCAGTCTAGCCTGGGCAACAGGTCTAGACTCTATCTCAAAAAAAAAAAAAAGATGAAACAAAGGTCCTCAGAGTTTAAGGATCTTGTTCAAAGTCACACACTATATATGCATATAGATACACACAAATCTCTGTTTACATCTATCTCTATATCTATATTAACCTACCATTTACTGAATACTTATTCAGTGCCAAGTACCACGCTCAGCACTTTGCACCCTCACTGAATCTTCATAGCAATCTGCAAGGTAGGAATCTTTATCCTATTTTATGGATAAGGGACTGAAGTTCAAGTTCATCCACTTAGTCAAGTGGCAGAGCTGAGGTTTGAAACCGCAGACTGTACAACCCAAAGTCCATGTTCTTAGCCATTGTGTATTATTGCCGGTCACTGAGAGGGTACTCTGGGCTGTGCCCTGGGCGAGGCAGGGGGATACAGGAGTCAGTAAAAAGAGATTCTACCCTTTAGGTGCTCACCGTCCAAAAAGAAAGGCAGCTGTGAGGGCAAGAAAGGCAGGAGTTCAGTGAGTGCAGGGACAGAGGCCAGAAGGTGGGAAACCCAGAGAAGGAAATGGTCAACGCTGTTTGGCTGAAGGACCAGGAGGAAGCATCTCCAGGGAGACTGGGCTTAAGCTTGGTCTTGAACGTAATTAGAACCCAGGTCTCCTGGCCCAGCCCTAGGACTCTTTACCATAGCAGGGAGAAAAACAAACAATATAAAATCATAAAACAAAATCCTGAAAGCAGCACTGCTCACCCATAGAGCAAACACTCAGTGTTACTTGGATCTAAGTCTGAACTAAAAGGAATTTCAGAAAGAAACGAAAAGGCTGCCTGGATTCCACATGAAGCGTCCCTGTGTGTTTTCTCATTGAGTTCCAAAATTCTTAGTGGACAATAGTTTATACACTAGTGTATTCTATCAGTAATAACATTAACAAAAATTATTTTACTCATTATTCTAAATGCTTTCAATTATTTTAAAAATATACCTACCTTCACTTTGGTTCCAACACTGATTCTTGCCTGTTGACCCATTGCTAGAAAAGTGATGGAAATCTTGTCTTGTTCTAAGATGCGAACTCCAACATAATGGTTCAAAGCCAGAAAGACGGGTTTAAACGAAACAAAGGGTGAGGAAGCGATGGAAGCTGACCAATTCCAAGCCCTTATTCTGTTGCCAGCTTGATCTGAATACTGACCTCCCACGATATTGATGTATACCCTGGGCAGAAAGCAAATAAAGAAAATCACCAACAGTAACACTGTCACAGAATGCTGGAATTAGCCCTGTCACTTGCTAAACACGGGGAGTGACAGTTTATGTGAACCAATAGCACGTGAGTGGTGGAAACCTCAGGTAACCTTAGGGTGATAATATTACACCTGAACTCTACAGTAAAGTACTGTGTCCAATTTGAGGCCATACTGATAAACTAAAATGGGTTCGAAGGACGGAAATGGGATGGTAAGGGGGTCTGGAGGGATGAAGAGGGAGCAGGGAAAGTTAAGTCTGGAAAAGAAGAGAGATAGCAGAGTAGGCCTTTACTGAAAGGGGGGAAAGACCAGTGCTTAGATTCACGCCAAAGAGAAGAGCAGTGGGTATAAGTTCTGGGGAAGCCCAAGTTGACCTCAGTCCAAGAAAGCTGCTTCCTAAAAGTGTCCACCAACTGGGAGCCAGGAGGGCTTCCAGGAGGCCTTGAATTGGGCTGGGTGGGTAGGGGACAGGCTCAGCAATGCCTCTGAGCCCCCTGCAGTGGAGAAGAGTTCTGTAATTGAGCAGAAGGTGGAACTTAGACCCACTGGTCCTCTCTAATCTCTTTGGGTCACCAGTGCCTCTTTTTGCTACACTACACGTGGCACTCAGCACAGTGCCATTCTATGCGGCTCTCTCCTGGTCATACTCTCTCACCTGCCTGCATTGTGGGTCACCACTCCCACCTTGAGGCAAGGGAAGAGGTATAGTTCTGGGTCATTAGAAATTGGCTTCATTTGATAGATGAATTGGCCATGAGATCCCACAAGAGTAAGATAACTAACATCTCATTTCCCCAGGATTGATTAGTGGTAGTAATCTAACACCAGAAGCACAATGAGAAAATGAGGTGATTATTGGATTGTATTTGAGAAGAGATATTTAGTTTTACCTTGAAATGTGGGTGAAAATAATATTTGGCTAAAATTGTCTGGATAAATCAGTCCTTTGTTTATTTAATAAACATTCTTTGAGTCTATACCACATAAAGGTCACTGCTGTATACTGGTAAAGATTGAGGATGTGCCTTTAGGTAACATCAGTCCAGCAGGGAAAATGGACTTGCTACATGAGAGGCAAATAGCAAGTCTATGAAGGTATCAAGGAGCAGGGTCAGAGTGCCCAGGAGTTCAGTTCGTGGGTCAGGGGCTTCATAAAATCATCCTAGCAGGACCATTGGTTTCTAATCTTGAAACCAATTAGTATTGGTGACAATTAATAGAGCCCTCCGCCAAATGTTACACAGAATTACTATTGAACCCTGGAAGGTAAGCAGAAAATTTCTAACATATGGATTGACTACTGATTTGGACTAAAAACCCAAATAGCTCACTGTGTCTTAACTTTCTCAAGTACAAACTCCTGGCCTCCTTCCTCCTTGGCCTCTCAAAGTGCTAGGATTTCAGACACGAGCCACGACATCCTGCCTTCCTAGAGATTTTGTTTGTTTATTATTGCTGTTGGTTGTGGCTATAGGAAGCTTCCTAGTTTTTATTTTTTGAGACAGTCTCTCACTATGTCTCCCAGGCTAGAGTGCCACAGCATCACAATTCACAGCAACCTCAAACTCCTGGGCTCAAGCAATCCTCTTGCCTCAGTCTCCTGAGTAGCTGGGACTACAGGCACCCACCATAACGCCCAGCTAGTTTTTCTATGTTTAGTAGAGATGGGGATCTCAGTCTTGCTCAGGTTAGTCTCGAACTCCTGAGCTCAAGCAATCCACCCACCTCAAGCTCCCATAGTGCTACAATTACAGACATAAGCCACCACACCCATCCTAGGAAGCTTATTAGTTCCGACTGTATCTCAAGAAATAAAAACAATGTAGCAACTGTTGATTGACAAATTATTTCCATAGATGAAGCACATTAACATCATCCTGGCATAGGCTCTAAAGACTGCCTTGGTTCAGAAGCCAAATTTCTAGAATTACCATACAATTCATTAATACTTTTTTTCTATATTCCAATTATGTAGTTCCTATTTTCTTACTGTTTATAGAAAGACTATGCTGAGCTTTGTTTTATACAGTTGCTTGGGATTTTTCTGAGATGGCATAAACCAAAAATGCCTCTATCTAAAGGCCACAAAATTAACCTTCTTAAAGCCATTCTTATGATTTAAAAAGAAGAAGAAAATTTCACAAACCAAAAAACCAAAATGGTAGCAGAAGCAGCCTAGAAGCCTACCACACATTTCCATTGTGATGATAGCAGGAACTTCTGCCCGAGGAATCCAGCAGTGCCAGGATAGTGGGGTTAGTAGATGTGTCTTCTTGGATGATACAAGTGAAACCAGTCTTCTTGTTGGGCACTCGAATGATGGCTAGGTTTCCAGATGGATAGCTGAGGTCAGATAAGGTCATGTAAGTTGTTCTTATGGTCCTTGACTATTGTGGAATAAATTCGCTTTAAGGGAGAGCTCTTTGAAATACTAAAGCATTCTGAATATAAGCATAGCATTTTATGCTTTTTATGTGGATCCAAATATATTTATGAGATTCAAAAATCCCCAACAGGCTCCGCGCCTCTGGCTCAAGTGGCTAAGGCGCCAGCCACGTACACCTAAGGTGGTGGGTTCAAATCCAGCCTGGGCCCGCCAAACAACAATGACGGCTGCAACCAAAAAATATAGCAGGGCGTTGTGGCAGGCGCCTGTGGTCCCAGCTACTTGGGAGGCGGAGGCAGGAGACTCACTTGAGCCCAGGAGTTGGAGGTTGCTGTGACCTGTGATGCTACAGCACTCTACCCAGGCAGACAGCTTGAGTCTCCCGTCTCAAAAAACAAAACAAAACAAAACAAAAATCCCCAACAAAATATTAACAAATGAAATCCAGCAATATGTAAAAAGGATTATGCACCCTGATGAAGTTGGGTTTATCCCAGGAATGCAAAGTTGGTTAAATATCTGAAAACCAATTAATCTAATATGCCATATTAACAGAAGAAAGAGCAAAAGACACACAGTCATTTCAAGAGACAGAAAAACTATGTGACAAATATTAAATAAATAGCCTGGTCATTAGGCAGAAGTTCAAGCGATAGATAACAAAAGTGTTCCATGAAATTAATACTGAATTCTGGTATTAAAAAATTACATGCTGCTCCTGGATATGCAAACTGGTACACATTTTCTGGTTGGTGGTGGGGAGGCAAAATCTATCAGAGTTTTAAAATGTCTAAATGTCAGAATTTCTATCCCTTGGTATTCAATTCAAAGAAATAAATGCTAAGCATGCAACAAAGTATACAAGAAGCTGTTCATTGAGCTGTTGTGTGGGATAGCAAAAACTGTGAAACCACCTTTGTTTGCTGATAGGAGATGGATTAAAAGAATTATAGTGAAATTCTATGTGATAGCAGGAACTTCTGCTATCTATATTTATTGCCTGTTATATAACATTGCTTATTTTATAATATCGTTACATAAAAGAGCCAATTATGAAATATGAATAGTTAAGGAATTTATTTTTAAAAAACTATATACATGCTTATAGACAGGAGAAAGTAAGAAAACACATATTTTAAAATGTTATCAGCTTTTCTCTGGGTGGTAGAATTTGAGGGTAATTTTTTATCTTTAGTAGTTAAATATGAAATGTCTGATTTCAGGTCAAAAGTTTAGTTTATTATATCTCAAACAAGAAACCTTACAATTGAGGTGACGCCTGTGGCTCAAAGAGTAGGGCGCCGGCCCCATATGCTGGAGGTGGTGGGTTCAAACCCAGCCCCAGCCAAAAACTGCAAAAAAAAAAAAAAAAGAAAGAAACCTTACAATTATAATATGCAACTAAACTGTCAAACCAGTTTTGCCATCTTGATGGTAGCTTGTGTATGCCAGCCGTGAAATCTGGAGAGCGAGTGGGATGAAATTTGCAAAAGGCGTTTTCCACAGCTTGTTGAGAAGTGAGTATTTTTCCTTGAGAGAAGTGGTCCAAAGTCTGGAAGGAGTGGTGGTCAGTTGGTGCAAGGTCTGGCGGCTGTGGTGGATGACAGAGAGTTTCCAAGTCCAGCTTCTGTAGTTTGAGTAAAGTCGTTAATGTGACATGTTGCGAGAGGACTGGCCTGTCTCTCCTGTCCGTTCTCAGCGGCTTAACTGCAAGCAGCCTCATCATTTCGTCTCATTGGTTGTAGGAGACCAGTAATCGGCAGACCAGGTTTCGTGAAGCTGTAGCGGATAATTCTAGTGCTGGACCACCAGACAGACACCCTTAGCTTTTTTGATGAATATTTTGGACTGTGTTTCGGCACTTCATCTTTATCTAACCATCATGCCAAATGTTTGCTATTGTCAAAAAGAATCCATTTTCATCACATGTAACAATATGGTGTAGGAATAGTTCATTTTTATACGTCACAGCAAAGAGAGGCAAGCTTCAAGATGACTTCTCTTCTGATGCTCATTTAATTCACACGGAACCCATCCAGCCAATTTCTTTACCTTGCCCATTTGTTTCCCATGGTCCAACATTGTTGGAATAGTAACATCAAACCTTGCTGCTAATTCATCTGTAGATTGAGATGGATTCGCTTCCACTACAGCTCTCAGCTCCTCATTATCCACCTTGCGCTCAGGGTGGCCACATGACTCATTTTCAAGATTAAAATCCGCAGAACAGAACTTCTCAGTCCATAGACAGACGGTATCCATTAGTCACAGCCTCCCCAAACTCATCACTGATTTTTCAAGCCGTCTTATCTGCATTGGTTCCACAATGGAACTCGTATTCAAAAATAACATGAATTTTTGATTCATTTATGGTTTCCCAAAAATTTCTCTAAAAAAATTTGAAATATCACAAGCCAAAACATGCATTTGAGGCCAGGCATGGTGGCTCATGCCTGTAATCCTAGCAATCTGGGAGACTGAGGCGGGTGGATTGTTTGAGTTGAGGAGTCCGTGACTAGCCTGAGCAAGAGCCAGACCCCATCTCTAAAAATAGCCAGGCATGGTGGCGGGCACCTGTAGTCCTAGCTACTTAGGAGGCTGAGGCAAGAGGATTACTTGAGCCCAAGAGGCTGAGGTGGCTGTGAGAAATGATGCCACGGCACTGTACCACGGGCAACAAAGTGAGACTCTGTCTCAAAAAAAAAAAAAAGTGCATTTGAAAGACTGAGGATGAGCCTTTACAATAAAAATAAAACAAGAAGTGTCAAAGTGAAATGTCAGAAAAATCAACCATTGGCTCAGCGCCTGTGGCTCAAGTGGCTAAGGCGCCAGCCACATACATCTAAGGTGGCGGGTTCGAATCCAGCCTGGGCCCGCCAAAACAACAATGACAGCTGCACAAAAAATAGCCGGGCGTTGTGGCAGGTGCCTGTGGTCCCAGCTATTTGGGAGGCTGAGGCAGGAGACTCGCTTGAGCCCAGGAGTTGGAGGTTGCTGTGAGCTGTGATG